GTCTGTGGAACCAGAAAAGAGGGTCATCGATTAGTAAAACCATCAAGAAAACTGTTATGTATGGGGACTGGAACATTCCAGGGCTGTTTCTACCAGAGACTGGCTGAGCTTGGAGCTCTAGAACAATAGCCCACCAGGACTCTGGAGGTGGCCAATGAGGAGTTAATGGTTCTGACAATGGCCTATCATTAGTGGCTGTTTGGAAAGTGGGTGGAGTTTGCATGCTATTTAAACCGGGTCGTTGCCCTGGGTCTTTGCCTTGCTCTTGCTGAATCACTAACAGAGCTGATCACTAGGCTTGGGGTCAGACCATCCATGGAACCCAGTATTTAACAAAAACACAATTCCTCCTTCTTGAATCCAAGAAGATACAGGGAGGGGTGTAGGCGTGTTACAAAATTCAGGGTTGTTGTTTTTTCCCCACCAGCAGGGGTAATTTCCTGCGGGAGCGCACAGGAGCGGAGCTCCGGCAGAAAGGAGCCCAGGGGGCGGGCACATGCAACAAGCTCCACCCCCTGCTCCCAACAATCCTCAGTCAGAGTAAGAAGCAGCCAGGTAAGTTGCAGACACACACCCCGGCCCGCTTTCAGGTACAAGCTCTCCCTCCTCTGTGAGGGCAGATCTGCATGTCCCCCCAATAGCTAACAATCCAAAACAGTCCAGTGGAGCCTGAGCGGTGGGTGTTGCCTTCTGACACACTTCCGGTGATGGCAAGGGGTATGGCATATGCAAATAAGTTATGCTAATTAGTTATGCTAATGAGCTCCTGCACCTCTTTTTCTACGAAAGGACCTACAAGTATGTTCCAAATAGCTGGGAATCAGGCTCTGATACCTGAGCAGGGAGAGCCAGTTTGGTGTAGTGGTTAAGAGTGCGGACTCTGATCTGGGAGAACTGGGTTTGATTCCCCACTCCTCCACATGCAGCTGCTGCTGTGACCTTGGATCAGTCACAAGTTCTCTCAGAGCTGTTCTCTCAAGGGCAGTTCTCGGGAGAGCTCTCTCAGCCCCACCTACCTCACGGGGTGTCTGTTGTGGGGAGGGGAAGGAGATTGTCAGCCATCCCGAGACTCCTTTGGGTAGCGAAGGGTGGAGTACAAATCCAATCTCTTCTTCTTCTGTATTACCACAGAGTCCACCCTCCAAAGCAGCCATTTTCTCCAGGGGAGCTGATCTCTGTAGTCTGGAGTTCTCCAGGCCCTCACCTGGAGGTTGGTAACCCTGGGGGGCAGCTTTGGTCCATTTTCTAAACACAGGTCTGTTGTACAGAGGACACCCCTGGAGTCTGAGACAGCAAAGGCCGGGTGCTAACTCTCCCTCGGGTTCCTCACTGCCCTTAGCAGCTGCTCCTGTTGACCGCCCTTCCCTGCCTTGCTGCTCTTGAAGGGGAGAAAGGACTTGGCCTGAAACACAGTCTCCAAACCAAGGATGGGGTTGGCTCCATCTCTGTTCCAGCCGCCTTCTACTACGTCAGGTCGATGGTCCTTCCAGCGCTGGAAGCCGTTTCCTAAAGTCTCGCTGAGCCCGAGAAATCTGACGTCTTTCTCAAACCGGAGGTGCTGGGAATTCAAACCTGTGACCTTCTGCACGCAGGGCAGGCGAAGACCCAGTTGGTAAGACACAGGGAGGGGGAAAGTAAACTTGACCCAAAAACGGGAAACAGAAATAAGAAGAGATCTAGCGTCCAAAAGCACAGGCAATATTGTGCCAAAAGCACATGAGAGAAGAGCCCAGGCACAAAAGCAGTTGAAACCGGAGAACTAAAGCAAGCGAAGGGGACCCACAGGGCTCCCAAAACTTTTAAGAGCCAAGCCGAACTGGCTTCTGTATGGCTCACTGCGCCTGTTCAAACCTCTCCCGTAAAGCTTTGGGAAACCAATGTAGATTGCCGCCATCTAGTGGCAGAAATCAGCACTGCAGTCAAAACAGGAAATGGCGCTGTTCGGCTTTGCACTCTTGGAGGAATTATTTTGCTTTAGGAAGGAATCAGTGGAATTAAAAATTGCCACCAAACCACTAGAACTGGGGGAGAGTGAAAAAAATCCATCCTTTACTCTCAGTCTGCTTCCGTACGCTGTAGATTCCCCCTTATGGCTTTCGTTGCCTATCAGAGACAGAGTTGTCACGTGGAGACTTGGTAGGGTTGCCAGGTCTGGGTTGGAAAATACCTGGAGACTTTGGGGGTGTCTCCAGGAGAGGGTGGGGTTTGGGGAGGGGAGGGGAGGGGCCTCAGCACGGTCCAATGCCAGAGAGTCCACCCTCCGAAGCAGCCATTTTCTCCAGGGGAGCTGATCTCTGTCAGCTGGAGATCAGTTGTAAAAGCGGGAGATCCCCAGGCCCCACCTGGAGGCTGGCAACCCTAAGACTTGGGCTGGAACAAAGATCTTTAAAGGATCCCCTGATCCCCTGCCATTACAATCTTCTTGAAAGGCCCAATTCTGTTTTTCATCTTTCAGAGAATATATGGTGGGGCCCACACATGGTACGGCTTTTTCTAGAATGATATCTTCTGGAACTCGCACTCCACAACAGTTCTGGCAACCAAAGCACATAGATTTAGGACAGCTAAAGACGCAATGTGTTCCTCAGGATTGTAGCTTATTCATTTGATATGCATATTTCTTTTTTTAAGACTGATATACAATTAAGATGTTCTTGAACTGACCCTGTTTACTGCCTCGGCAACACTCGGATCTGATGTTGGTCTGTTTTGTTCAAATCTTCATCACATCACTGTACAACCAATGATACCTCTTTCCCATGAAATGTAATCTCCGATTGCTGCCCAATTTGTTACATTTGCCAAGAAGAAGGAGGAGGAGGAGGAGATTGGATTTATAAGCTGCCCTTCACTCTGAGTCTCAGAGCAGTTTAAAATTTGCTTTGCCTTCCCCTCCCCACAACAGACACCCTGTGAGGTAGGTGGGGCTGAGAGAGAGCCCTTTTGAGGACTGCTCTTGAGAGAACAGCTCCGAAAGAACTTGTGATTGACCCAAGATCACGCCAGCAGCTGCTTGTGAAGGAGTGGGGAATCAAACCCAGTTCTCCCAGATCAGAGTCCACACTCTTAACCACTACACCAAAATGGCTCTCGGGGCAACATATGCTGGTCTCCCACACTCCCTTTCACAACAACCCTGCAAGGTTGAGTTACGGCAGCTGTCCCAAGGTCACAAAGTGACCTTCACGGACAAGCTGGGACTCAAGCCCAAGTCTCTTCAATTCAACATTCTAACCACTATACACCACTACCCCCTTGCAGATAATAATAGTAATTATTGCATGGCACTGTGTGCAGAATAGCCAGGAGATCCTAAGATTGTCTGGCAGCTAGACGTTCTAGCTCTTTTATGCACCACAAGGTGGCGAGCGAAGCTTGTTTTTGAGGCCAGAGACATTTCAGAGGTGGCTTGCCACTGCCTGCCTCTTCATCACGACCCTGGTATTCCTTGGAGGTTGCCCTCCCAAAGACTAGCCAAGGCTGACCCTGCTTAGCTTCCAATATCTGATGAGATCAGGCTAGCCTTGGCCTACCCCCGGTAAATATTTAATAAGGAATGCAATCTTTATGTAGCCAAATATCCAGAGGACATTCCATACGCTATTAGCGATCTTTCCACTAGCTATGTAAGTTACTGTGGACAGGGCCGAGGCCAAATGTGGATGCCAAATCCTTTATCGTTACTATTTGACTTAGGACCAGTGTTCCCTCTAAGCTGAGTTAGTGTGAGCTAGCTCACAGTTTTTTAGCCTCCGGCTCACACATTTTCGTCTGAGCTCAGGAAGGGTGGCTCCAGAGCAGACTAATTTATCCCGTAGTCAAATCTCTCACTCACAACTTTAATGGCAGTAGCTCACAAAAGCCCCGTTCACATGCCTAACTTGCCGCGGGAGAGCCACAATTGAATGGCGGAGTTTCCGGATGTGATCACACCGCAACATCTGGCAAGTGGAGCGCACCCGTGGCCAACCCGTGGCGTACCTCCAAAAATGCACGATAAAAAACTACCTGCTCGAATGTACTAGCAATCGGTTTGCCACGGGCTGCCTCCGGAATCCCTTGGTGTGATGGCGCTGGCGCACCACTTTTCCCTATGGCCCCTCGTTGGCGTGCAGACGCGGAGGGAAGGAACCGTGGCATGCCGCCGACACATGGGATCGCATTCTGGTGGTTCTAATTGCAGTGGCGCAAATAGCCCCGCCTCCCCCACACACGTTATCCGGCCCGTGTGACCGGGGCCAAAGTAGAGTTTTTGCTCACAGGACTCCACAGTTTAGAGGGAGCACTGCTTTAAGGCTTCCTACTTTGCACCTCTAGAACTTCCACAATAGCAGCTCTTGGGTACACGGGGAAGGAGAAGGTCATTTTTCATTGAGAACATGGGTTTTCTTTCCCTGCCGAAATGTAGTGAGACTCACACAGGGTTGCCAGGTTACTGGGAAAAACAGTTGTGCGGGCTCCTATGCTTTCACCCGCAGCTCGCTCTGCACAAAACCATGGGTGACGCTCATTGCAACCTGCTGTACGTCACTCTTCTGCTAAAGACACAGAAGCAGCAGTGGGGGGGGGGAAGGTGGCAACACGTACCCCTCCTTACCCTTGGGAAATGAAAGAAGGGCCCGAAAAGCCCTTCAGGGTAGAAGACCGGGGTGGGTCCCTTCGGCAGGTGCGATTTCCTTCTTGTTCTCCCTGTTCCAGACATACACCCCCACACCGCCATATTCAAATAATTTCCTGTGTCATTTCACACATGGATTTTTTTTTCATGTTTAACCATCTGTGGGCCTGAGAGACAGGAAGCAAAACCTGAAGGCATCACTGAGCTGCAAAGAGAGAAAGAGAGAGAGAAGTTGGGTTCAACATTTCTGAAAAGACGTTTCCCTCCGGGCCCTGGCTGTTTCCAAACGGCCTCCGTGTTCCCTGCGTTCTCGGGCAGGCACGCAGGGAGACGTGCGTCTTGGGAGGCTTTTGTGGGATTTGTAGAGGACCACAGCTGGAGGATGGAGGCCATGGCTTTGTACAATTTCCAGTCGGTGGAGAAGGACGAACTGAACTTCAAGAAGGGGGACACGTTGAAGGTATCCGCACCCCTGGACGGCCCATATCCAGGCAGACGTGCTTTAAAAATAACTCCTCGTTGAGAAAAGTGGGAGGCTACAACAGGTTGAAATTACACACCTAGAGAAGATGGGCATAACGCAACTTGTGGAACTGACGGCTGCAGGGCGTGGGGACGGTCACGAGATGGATTCAGAAGTGGATGAGTCAAATCCATCAGTGGCTAAGAATGCTTATTTCTTTCATTTTTCTACCCAGCTTTTCTCCCCGAAGGGGACCCAAGGTGGCTTCCAAAATTCTCCCCTCCTCCATCCTATCCTCACAACAATCCATTTGATCTGGGAGACCCTGGTTCGAATCCTTCCTTGACCATAAACGTTCGCTGGGTGACCTTTTGCCAAGTCACACACCCTTTGCCTCCGCTCCCTCGCAGGGTGTCCGGGAAGGCAACATGGAGGAGAGGACAGCACTGTAAGCCACTTTGGGAGGGGACGTGTGATATAAATGAAAGAAATAATAAATGAGGAATTGGCGATACTGTTAAGGGAGGGGGAACCTTGCTTGCATTCCTCCCCCGTATAGACATTTGTGCTTGTGTGCTTGCCATTTGGGATCGGGAATGCACCCATCACTTTCCAGAGATCAGTTAAGAGCATTCCTTTCCAGAGGGGCTTTGGGGGAATGGAGGTGCACGATCTGTCCCAAGGAAAGCTGATTGTGTGCTAAGTTTTTGTGCTTGGGATTTTTTGGCTTTTAACATGATTGTTGCCGTTTTATTCAGGGGGTGGGGAGCCATGCTGCCTCTAAGCTGTGGAGTCGTGTGAGCAAAAATTCTACTTGGTGAGCTGCTGGCATTGAAGTTGTGAGCGAGCGATTTGGCTGCTGCATAAATTAGTCTGCTCTGGAGCCATCCCTTCCTGAGCGAAGACAAAAATCTGTTAGCTGGAGGCTAAAAGACTGTGAGCTAGCTCACACTCTCAGCTTAGAGGGAGCACTGATTACAACCAATGCTCCCTCTAAACTGTGGAGTCTCGTGATCAGAAATTCTACTTTGTGAGCTGCTGGCATTGAAGTTGTGAGCGAGCGATTTGGCTGCTGCATAAATTAGTCTGCTCTGGAGCCATCCCTTCCTGAGCGAAGACAAAAATCTGTTAGCTGGAGGCTAAAAAACTGTGAGCTCGCTCGCACTAACTCAGCTTAGAGGGAACACTGGTGGGGAGGGTGTTGTATTGATGCCGCCTTTAAGCACCTCCAGGTAGGCCTGAGTATGTTTTGCGTGTAGTGATTATTGATTATTGGTGATTATTGAGTATGATTATTGATTATTGGGGTAGTGGTTAAGTGCACGGCCTCTAATCTGGGAGAACTGGGTTTGATTCCCCACTCCTCCACTTGCACCTGGCTGGATGACCTTGGGCAAGCCATCGTTCTGATAAAAGCTGTTCTCTCAAGGACAGTTCTCGAAAGAGCTCTCTCAGCCCCACCTACCCCACAGGGTGTCTGTTGTGGGGAGGGGAAGGGAAAGGAGTTTGTAAGCCGCTCTGAGACACCTTTGGGTACTGAAGAGTGGGGTATAAATCCAATCTCTTCTTCTTGTATTTCTTCTGGATTTCACAGTTTAATTCGTTTTTATCCTTTCTTGTTTTGTTTTAAATGATATTCCGGATTCGCTTGTTGCAAGGTGCCCTGAGACTGATGGGGCCTGAATCTTTTGAATCAATAAACGCTTAGCTCTGCCCCCTCGAAAGCCCCATTTCTGGTTTGCGGCCACCCCCTCGGCTTGCTCAGAGCCTCTGCCCGCCAACCCTTTCCGGCTGGCCTCTGGGGAACTGTCTCACAGCACAGGCCTGGGGCCCCCCACGAGTCCCTGGAGAAATCTCAGATCCTGTTTCTGCAACCGAGCATCGCACTGTGAGAGGACCATGTGAGAGTTCAGCAGTACAAGGAAATGGCCCTTCTCCACCCTCTTCTTCACTCAGGGCGCATCCTCTGGTCAAGAAACCAGACAGCCAAAAAGCCATGCCCAGTATCTGATGAAGGGAGCTTTGACTCTTGGTAGCTCCCACCCCGGCAAAATCTTCTCGGTCTCTTAGTCGCTGCTGGACTCCCATCTTGCTCTTGTACTGCAGACCAACTTGGCTACACTTTGCAAAAAGGCACCGATTATTCTCAACCTTTCAAAATTCACCTGAGTCAGTCGTTGCAGTATTATCAGTTATTATCTTGTCACTTAGTAACTGGTAAAATGATCAACCACAAGGTTAGGGCTGCCTGGAGAAAAGGCTGTAGAGGAAAGGCCGCCTGGAGGAAAGGCCGCAAGCTTTTCTACACAGCCCTGTTGTGGTAAGGGGCGGTGGTTTAGTGATGGAGCCTCTGCTTGGCATGCAGAAGGTCCCAGGTTCAGTCCCCGGCAATCTCCAGTTAAAAGGACCAGGCAGGAGGTGATGGGAAAGACCTCCGCCTGAGACCCTGGAGAGCTGTAAAGAGGGGCCGTGGCTCAGTGGAAGAGCCTCTGCTTGGCATGCAGAAGGTCCCTGGTTCAGTCCCCGACATCTCCAGTTAAAAAGGACCAGGTCTTTCTCTGCCTGAGACCCAGGAGAGCTATAAAGAGGGGCTGTGGCTCAGTGACAGAGCATCTGCTTGGCACGTAGAAGGCCCCAGTTTCAGTCCCTGGCATCTGATGGGAAAGATCTCTGCCTGAGACCCAGGAGAGCTATAAAGAGGGGCTGTGGCTCCGTGGAAGAGCCTCTGCTTGGCATGCAGAAGGACCCAGGCTCAATCCCCGGCATCTGCAGTTAAAAGGACTGGGCAGGAGGTGATGGGAAAGACCTCCGCCTGAGATCCTAGAGAGCTGTCAAGAGGAGCTGTGGCTCAGCGGGAGAGTGTCTCCTTGGCATGCAGAAGGTCCCAGCATCTCCAGTTAAAAGGACGAGGCAGGAGGTGTTGGGAAAGACCTCTGCCTGAGACCCTGGAGAGCTGTCAAGAGGGGCTGTGGCTCAGTGGAAGAGCCTCTGCCTGGCATGCAGAAGGTCAATTGGCATGCAGAAGGCATACAGAAGTTCAATCCCCGGCATCTCCAGCTAAAAAGGACCAGGCAGGAGGTGATGGGAAAGACCTCTGCCTGAGCCCCTGGAGAGCTGCTGCCAGTCAGCAGGCCATACTGACTTTGATGGACCAAGGGGGGTCTGATTCGTTATAAGGCCACTTCATGTGTTCATGTCTTTGGTGGTGGTCAAAAGTGCCTTGAAGTCACAGCCGACTTTCAAGGCAAGAGACGTTCAGAGGTGGTTTGCCATTGCTTCTCTCTGCGTCGCAACCCTGAACTTCCTTGGTGGTCTCCCATCCAAGTCCTAACCAGGGCCGACCCTGCTTAGCTTCAGAGCTCGGATGAGAAGGGGCCAGCCCAGGCCATCCAGGTCCGGGTGTTGATGCCTTTCACATTTAGATAATGCGCAGGGCTCTTTTTGTAGAAAAAGCCCAGCAGGAACTCATTAGCATAATAGGCCACACACCCAACAGCAGGAACTCATTAGCCTATTAGGCCACACCCCTGACAGCACAGCATATTAACATATTAAGCCACACCCCCATGTTACCAGAAGTGTGGTCATCCAGCCACACCCACCTTTTTGCTTCTTATTCTGTTTACCTTGTTTGTTTCCTGTTTACCTTGTTTGTTGTCAAAACCCAGGGCCTTTTTTTTTTGTAGCAGGAACTCCTTTGCATGTTAGGCCACACACCCCTAATGTAGCCAATCCTAATGAGTTTCTGCTGTTGGGTGTGGCCTATTATGCTAATGAGTTCCTGCTGGGCGTGGCCAACTTGGGAGCCAGCCGGAACTCCGTTCCTGTGAGTTCCTGCCCAAAAATAGCCCTGGATAATGCTATGAAAAGCGTTCAGAGCGACTTCTCTGAACCTCAAGCGAAAGAATAAGCCAGGCAGGTTTGTTGCTGTTTTCTTGCCGGGGGACAACCTGGGGGGGGGGGGGGGGTGGTCGGAATTCTTCTGCAAGTGCAGAAAGGGCACTTTGCATCTCAAAGGATTGTCGGAACTGAGACAGCCCTGAACCATATCGGCAAATCAGATACAACTTGTGACCCTTTTTTACACGCCCAGGGAAATGCTGATCGCCACTTTGGGTTCAGGAAACAATCCTGGAGGGGTTTTTTGTTGTTGTCATCTTCTGGGCGTGGAACAGGGGTCACTGCGGGTGTGGAGGAGGAGGTATCTGTGCATCTCCTGCATTGTGCAGGGGGTTGGACTAGATGACCCCAGAGGTCCCTTCCAACTCTGAGCCAGTTTGGTGTCATGGTTAAGCGCGCGGACTCTAATCTGGGAGAACCGGGTTCGATTCCCCACTCCTCCACTGGCAGCTGCTGGGTGACCTTGGGCAAGCCATAGTTCTGATAAGAGCTGTCCTTGAAAAAGAGCACTTTCTGTCAGAGCTCTCTCAGTCCCACGGACCTCACAGGGTGTCTGTTGTGGGGAGGTGAAGGGAAAGGAGTTTGTAAGCCGCTCTGAGACACCTTTGGGTAGTGAAGGGCGGGGTATAAATCCAATCTCTTCTCTTCTTCTTAACTGCACGGACTCTAATCTGGAAGAACTGGGTTTGATTCCCCACTCCTCCACTTGCACCTGCTGCTTGGTGACCTTGGGCAAGCCGTAGTTCTGTCAGAGGTGTTCTTGAAAAAGAGCAGTGTGACGACCTCTTCTCTGGGGAGGTCTGGTTTTCCTTTAAACGTGTTCTTATGTTTTATTTTCCTATGGGTATCTGGCTGCCACCAGGAAAATTTTAGGCTTTCCAAACCTTTATACTTTCTGTTTCTGGTTTTGGTATTGTGACCCAGGGTCTTGCCTTTCGAGGAACTATGTGTTTCCTGAGGAATAATGGATCAGGCTTCTGGGATAAACTTAAATAAAAAGGATTTATTTGAAGAGGAACAAAACTAAAGGTTGGATATTATGTAACTGGCTGGGAATAAGGTTCTTGTAACTATATTTGTCAACTGTATCACACACACTGTCAGTTTTAGTGCTGACAGGAATCTCTTACTTAGGCAACCACACAGTTTAATCTCTTTGTAAATTTAACTGCTTTCAGAACTTTAAAGATTCCTTATTGAAGATATATGCTGCGCTCTCTCTCAGATATCACACAGAACAAATTCATCCCACACAGGAATGCTTCTCTCTCAGAGACCTCAGAACAAAACTCCTATCAACTGCTTTTACACAGCACTCTCTGCTGACTCTCTCAACTGTCATTCACACCCAACAGTCACCTCTGATAGACATTCCAATCATCCACACAGCGTCCATTCCAAAACCCCTCCCCCTCTCAGGCACTCACCAATCACACCACTTGCCTGTTTCAACCACACTAGACTTTCACACAGCAATGTAAACCAAACTTTTAAAGACACACACACAAATAAACATGAAATCGTTACAGTTTCTGTCAAGAGCTCTCTCAGCCCTACCTGCCTCACAGGGTGTCTGTTGTGGGGAGGGGGAGGGAAAGGAGTTTGTAAGCCACTCTGGGACTCCGAGTGAAGGGCGGGGTATAAATCCAATCTCCTCCTCATCATCATCATCCACTTGCAGCTGCTGGTGTGACCTTGGGTCAGTCACAAGTTCTTTCAGAGCTGTTCTCTTAGGAGCAGTTCTCGAAAGAGCTCTCTCAGCCCCGCCTACCTCACAGGGTGTCTGTTGTGGGGGAGGGGAAGGGAAAGGAGATTGTAAACCGCTCTGAGACTCCGTGTGAAGGGTGGGGTATAAATCTAATCTCCTCCTTGTCGTCCTCTATGATTCTAACTTGTGGTTATGTAGCTTTCTTGGGAGCTGCCCTAGTATTGGTTTGTTGGTCTGCAGTTTCGGTTAACCATAAGGACACCAGCATGGTGTGTCTCCCCCCCCCCCCATTTTACTTCTCACAAAAGACTTCAAGAAAAAAAATTCTTTATAAGCTTAGGGAGTTCCCAATTCTTAAAGAATCGTCATTTACTGCTTCGTCTTCCCCCCTAAAGGGGGATCCAGAGTGACTTCCCGATTTCTCCTCTCCTCCATTTTATCCTCACAATGACCCTGTGAGGTTGGTCATGCTGAGTGCGCCCGTCTGGCCTCAGGTTACCCAGTGAGCTTCCGGGGCAAAATGGGACTTTGAATCTGGTCCCCCAGATTTTAGTCTGAGACTCTAACCAGTACACCACACAGGCCTGAAATATTTTTTATCAACTGACAGTCCCAAAACTAAGGAGTCCTGTGTCCAGTTTTGGGCACCACATTTTAGGAAGGATGTTGACAAGCTCGAGCGTGTCCAGAAGAGGGCAACCAGGACGGTGAGAGGGTTGGAATCCAAGTCTTATGAGGAAAGGCTGAAAGAGTTGGGTCTATTTAGCCTGGGAAAGAGAAGGCTTACAGGGGACATGATTGCAGTCTTCAAGTATCTGAAGGGCTGTCATGTAGAAGATGGAGCGGATCTATTCTCTCTTGCTCCGGATTGCAAGACTAGATCTAATGGGTGGAAATGACAAGGGAGTTGTTACCGGCTAAATATCAGGAGAAACTTCCTGACTGTAAAAGTGGTTGAGCAGTGGAACAGTCTGCCTCGGGAGGTGGTGGGTGCTCCTTCTCTGGACGTTTTCAATCGGAGGCTGGACGACCATCTTTCGGGTATGTTGTAGGGCTCTCTTTCG